TCATACCCCACCAAAAGTGAAAGGTCCAAGTTTATCTTCGACTGAAAAAACTACATTTTGAAATTTTTTGACTTACAACTCCCCTATTACCTCCCTCTCTGCTTTTATAAGCCTTTACAAGATCTATCCCTTAGACTTTTTCTTCAGTCAGTTCCATGGGCTGAATCTGAGTCTTGGGAGGGTTTCTCTCAATGAGGTTGAGTGAGTTTTCTTTCCACTTCACCCCAAATTCACCTCATTAACTATCTACCCCACCCCTATGTTATCTTGTTTGTATCCCTCAAAATATACTGCGGGGATATCCCAGAAGGGACCAGCATTCCTGACACTGTTGCCATCACTAAAATGTTGCTGTGTACCCAGACTGTCAGTCCAGAGCTACCTGCACAGCTCACGACATTCCCCAGGCCATGGCAGATAAGGGGAAATTGATTATGGACAATTTCTTACAGGTCCTGGTGGATGATTCAAGGCTCACACCTAGATTAATTTGGTCTTAGATATCTGGAGGAATTCCCAGCTCTCTGCCAAGGTAAGTGCCACCATATTGTCTCTGCCAGTCCATAGTCACTCTGTCTCTGCTACTGTACCCACCATCCACCAAGGTTCATGCTCTACCACTATCACAATTTATTGCATGCAGTCAGGACAACCTCCTCCTTTATCCCAACCTGCACGAGCACTGACAGCTGTGTTAGCCACTTCTATCTCTCTTAATACCTTATTTTCTCTCATTCCAGGAAAAAAAACAGTCCATGTTAGGGCAGAAAAAGTCAAGACGGGTGGTGCATTTTCCCACATTCAGCTCCTTGCATTTTATAAAGAGAAGATTCTAACTCTGACCAACCCACATGGCTGACTGACCATGTCCAAGCACCAGAATTGGTTTCAGAGGCTGCCCTTGCTTGCCCCCAACTGAAGGTTGTTTCCCTTACCTGCTGACAATTATGACTAGCTTCCTGGCTTTGTGTCAGTGTTGAACAGAAAGGCAAGACAGCAGTACTGTAAATTTGGTACCTCTGGCCGAGTAAACATTACAAAAAATGGCAAGGCAGGGATGTTGTCAACATCCAGGTAGGCCCAAAGTGAGTGAATGCTGAGACAGCAAGCAAACAGCCCTGAGATACAGCCTGGTCCAATCCGTGAGCTGGGTGCTGTGATTTTCTTATTAAGAATTCTTGACATTGAATTTCCTTGCAATGGGTGATAAAATAGGAAGCTGCATAATAATGAGGCAAGATGTGCAGTTAAGGAGGCAATTATACCACTTAATAGGCACCTCACTACTGTCTGGCAAGAATCTAGTCTCAGTGTCTGGAGCTTAATTGAAAAATGCAACAAGTTGCTCCTGACATGAAGAAATGCGTCACTGGACTAATTTCTAACTTCCTATTCTAGCCCATGTTGTTCAAGACCCTGTAAGTTTCTGCATGATTTGATTTCTTTCCTTGGGTCTTTGAGTTTCGCTTGTTTTCATTGGACCTGTAGATTTGATCTCAGCTGTACCTCCAGGCAAGGTACCAAACAAAAACAATTGATTCAATTCAGATGCAACTCATAATATTGGGACTTATTCAGAAAGATTAAGCAAGTGGGCAAAAGTTTTTCAGATGGAGTATAATGTGGGAAAATGTGAATTTGTCCACTTTGGCTGAAGAAAACAGAAAAGCAGTGGACCAATCAAATGGAGAGAGATTGCAGAACGCAATAGTGTTCTTTGTTCCTACATCTCTTGTGACTTTGAGAATGGGTGATGGACCTTCATTTTGAGTTGCTACTTTCTTTGTGGTTATGATAACTAAATACAGAACTACAGAATTATAGTCCAGCAATAGCGAAGACTGCCTTATGCCAAATCAGGATGAAGTATGGAACAAAAACAAAGTCGCTGGAAAAGCTCAGCAGGTCTGGCAGCATCTGTGAAGGACAAAACAGAGTTAACGTTTCAGGTCCGGTGACCCTTCCTCAGAACTTCCTCAGGATGAAGTATGAATTGGAAGTAAACAATTGACTTTATAGCTCTTGATCTTCTTGGTATTAAAGGTTGCATAGGTAGATACTGTGGGAGAGCTGTGCTGTCAGAGAATCAGTATTAAAGGTGTGCAGCGCTGTATGGAGTCACTGTCAGTGGGTTGATAATAAGGGACTGCTGCATTGTCAGAACACCAATATTAAGGTGGTGATTCATGTCAGAAGGTCAAAATTAAGGGTGTGCTGCACTGTCAGAGAGTTGCTAATGTCAGGGGGCGGACCGAGAAGGTGCTGTACTTTTGGATAGTCAGTATTGAGGAAGTGCTGCATTGTCGGAGACTCAGTACTAAGAGAGTACAGCACTGTTGGAGGGTCAATTTGAGGATGTGCTATGCTGTAGGAGGGTCAATAATGAAGGAATTCTGCACTGTCAGAGGGTTAATATTAAGGGAGTGCTACAGTTTCAAAAAGTTAATGTTGATGGGGCCGTTGTGTAAAGTGGCGATGGGTAAGTGGTAATTCATGCTACACTATTGAAGGGTCAGCACTGAGAGAAAGCCACCCTCTCAGAGGGTCAAGATTGAGGGAGAGCTTCACTGTCAGGGGGTCAATATTAAGAGAGTGCTCCAGCATTGAGGCTCAATCTTTAGTGACAGCTACACTGCCAGAGGGTCAATGATGAGCGGGTTCTGAAGTCTTGCGGAGTAAGTACTGAGGGAGTGCTGCATTGTCAGTGTCATCACTGAGGGGGCTCCACACTGTCGGAAGGCCAACATTAAGGGAGTGCTGCACTGTCAGAGGGTCACTACTGAGGGAGTACTGCACTGTCAGAACAGTCAGTCATGATGGAGTGCTGCACTGTCAGAGGGTCAATATTAAGGGTGTGCTACACTGTTAGACGGTCAATGATGAGCTAGTGATGCACTGTGCGACATTCCCTCAATTCTTATCCAATTACAATGAGGCACCGCATTAGTATGGCCCACTGACAAAGTAGCACAGCCTCAGAACTGACCCATTGATAATGAAGCTTTCACTCAGCACTGACCCTCAGAATGCTGCTCTACCACAGCACTGACACTCTAATCCTGTAGCACTGTCTCAATTCTGACCTCAGTCCTGACCCTCTGATCGTGAGGCACTCACTCAGTTGTGATCCTATTACATTGACAGTGCAGTTCTTCCTCATTGTTGACCCTGTCGCAGTGCAGAATTCACTGACACTGACCCACTCCCAGTGCGGCATACCTTTAATACTGAACGTCTGATAGTACTACAGGGAGCTGACTCTGACAGTGCAGCATTTTCTCAGTATTGACCCTCTGACAGTATTTAGGGGAGTGCTGCAATGTCAGAGAGTCAGGACTGAGGAAGAGCTGCACTGTCAGAGGGCAAATATTAATGGAGTGCTCAGGTCAATTTTAATGGAGTTGTGCAGTGTCACAAATTCAATATTAAGAGAGTGCTGCACTGTCAATGATGAGAGGGTACTGCCCTGTTGGAAGGCCTGTACTGAAAGGGAGCTGCCCTGACAGAGGGTCTACATTAAGGGAGTGCTGCATTGTCAGAGGGTCAATGATGAGAGAGTGCTGCCCTGTGGAAAGGCCTGTACTGAAAGGCATCCGTCCTGACAGAGGGTCTATATTAAGGGAGAGCTTCAATGTGAGAGGGCCAATATTAAGTAAATGGTCCAGTCTCAGAGGGTCAATTTGATGGGAGCACATCTCTCTGAAATTATCTTGTTGGAGGGTCAGTACTAAAGTAGTGCTGCTCTGTCTGAGGGTTCGTATAAAGGAAGTGATGCGCTATTAGATGATCAGGA